TGTTGGAATTATTTTTGTGCATCAAAAGGTGACTTAATTACTGAAGAAGTATATGACAGCTCTAATTACAAGAAATAGAAGGAAAAAAAAGCTTTGCACTAAACATCTTAGTTTACAAAAAAGGAAGCAGTATCTACAGTGTATATAAGTACATTACTGACCAGTACAGTCTTACTTTTTGTTTACATAATTTATTCTTTTTCAGGTTACCAGCTTGCTTTCTCTAATTGTCTGGACTTCTACAATTTGATTTTGTTACTGTGCTTAGATTTTCCCTGATTCTTTTTTGTTCAGGCTTGTTCCCCTAGATTAATGGAAATGAAATTAAAGTGGCAAAATATGTCCTACTTTTAAAGTAAATGGTGCTTATCCTTTCTGTAGAGAAGTATCGTGTATTGACTAGCAGGTTCTGGTCCAAAATTTAAACAGGGTCATAGCTATGCTACTTTAATAACATGAACTTCATAAAGAAAGTGGCTATCCTGTGAAGCTATCTTAATGTGTGGTTTTATTTTGAATAATATAAAAAATTTTTCTGTTGTATTAAGTTGTCATTGTCATCTCTGTTTCTCCATTCTGAATTACGGTGAGCACTGGACTGAAAGCTACTCTGGACATGTGTATTTTTTCCTGTTGCAAATGCTGGCATTCACTCTCGCTTTCTCTGTCTCTCTCTGCACTCATTCCCAGTCTTTCACATGCACACACACACGCAAAATTATGTTACATCGCATCATGTTGTTTATCTTGAAACAGGATCTTGCCTGGTCTGAACTTGGTGCTTGAGTGAATTTGAGCTCGGTCAGCGTTTTTCAGTTTATTGGAATATGAAGTCATATGTGTACTGAAATTAGATCATATTAAGAGCAGAGATTAATAAAGCTGTAATTAAGTGGGGTAAGATTTTACTGTTCTTAACAATAGATTAACTGGTTTGTTTTTATAGCAGATTTCTAATCAGTAGTGATCTAAATGTTTGGGGAATACAAAACGTAGTAGTTTCCTTCCTTGCCTTGTGTCGATAGTGTATGAAGTGTTGTGTGGCAATGCTATTTTTTACCAAGTCACTTGTATTTCATATGTTTTGTTTGAATATCAGATTTTTCTGAAACATTCATGTTTTATGGGATATAGTCTAGTTGATCTTTGTGCAAGTGCCCTTTTGAATAGTTTTTTATTCTGACCCTTAAAAACCTTTCAAATTCATTGAATGTGCAAGTAACACAACTTTAAAGGAATTTATAATTAATAAGTTAACTTCCTAGCTTCATTACTCCTGTTAAACTGTTAGGGGAACGGTATAATGTATCAGCTCAGTTCACTGTTATTATTTCCTTTATATAATAAAGGACTTGTCATGTTAACTCTTAAAAAAAAACAGCTAAAAGTCTAGTAGGGAGAAGAATCTGTATTAAAGATCAGCACTTTTAATAATGAAGTAAAATACTGCTTTTTCAGCTGTAGAAGAGAAAGAAGAGTTAGAAGCGTAACAGTATTAGTTATTAGCTGCCTGTTGTTGTGGTTCCTCGAAGCTGGTTTGTCCTACATCAAAAAAATGCGTCTTGCTTTTATTCTATTTTTTTTTTTTTTCTAGTGTTAACATTAGCTAACTAAAGACTTCATAAGGGCGTATTTAAGATTTTCAGTTTCTGGTGGAAATATTTACTTATATGAGTAACTTTGGGGAGAATGACATTACTAAATAGTGAGTAGAGATTTCAGAGGTGGAATCTAGAGCTGTGTAGGTTTGTAAAGTAATCACTGATCTTTCTACTTTTTTTTTTTTTTTAAGAGCAACCACCAAAAACCCGCAAGTGTTGATTGCCAGCTGTTCAGACAGATAATTCTCAGTTGGACAGTTGTCTGTTGCCTAGTTACTGGAACAGAATAAAAGAAAGTTAGCTTGTTAGCCAGCAGATCCTTAGTATTTTACATTTAAAAGGAAGCTGAAACTGAATATGTAACTTGGTGTGGTCTTCAGATTTTTACATATCGAACTCGCCCAATGTAATATTGCTTAGCAGCTTCTCATTTGGTAGGTGTAGAGAAATTTTGAAAAGTTTAAGTAGAAATTGTGCACTGATTTCATCTACATGTGGGGACTTATGTTAATGAGTGAATAAATTTTGGCATAGTAAATGGCGTTGCTTTGCAAGAAAATGCTGTGTCTTTGTCTTGTGTGAGAAAGTTTTAAAACAACTTGTGATATATTTGGAATGGTTAGGCTAACTTTAATAAATGATACAGATTATATGTGCACTTGGTTGTCAAAAGAACAAAGCATGTCTTATCACAGAGAAATGCCATATTTAATAATTTTTAACTTTTCTTGTGATTGTTTTTGACTAATTTCCAATATAATTGAAAACCAGATGATTATCAATAGATTAGGAAGCTTATGTAGATGAAGTTGCTTCTAGTAACAGTACTGTTTTTTTGAGAAAGTTGAAATTTCTCTAAAGTAATTCATTAGGAATGCCTATTTAATGGACTTCTGCATTCTGGAGGGAAAAAAACCCAAACCAAAACCAAAAACCACAAACATACACTTCCCCCCCCCCCCCCCCCCCAAAAAAAACAAAAACAAAAAATCTAAGAAAAATAGCAAGAGTTGGTATGTACTGAAAATTTTAAATATTTTTCATTCACAAAATTTTAAATTTCCATATAATACTTCAGTGGTATTTTGCGGAAAGATCACAGTTTTGATGGATGTTTGTCAGAACATAGGTCTTGGAGCTAATATTTGAAAAATACAAACTGTGAATGTCTGAATCCCTTCATTGTTTTCCTCTTCCTCATGCAGTAAAAGTAACAGTCTCACTTTTCTTAGTGTGTGCAACCTGTGACAACCAATACCTTTTCATAAATACTTCTCATTCTTGTCTGCTCTTTAATTAATTGCATTAACTTAGATATTGTCTTCAGTAGTTGACCACAGAGTTTCTTTTATCAGTGATATGTAGCTTTTTTGCCAGAGGGAAAAACCTTGGATTTAGTAAATTTGTTAGACTGGCTTTTAGAAATGGAGCATAGAGAGATTTGGGAGGAGGGCTTGCCCCTGATTGCTATCTCATTTCTGTCTTTGGACACACTTCTGGCATAAAGTTAAGCAGCATCTGTAGAGATTTGACTGGCAAACAGCTTCCTTGACTCATCATTGCATCCTGCAGCAGGTGCAGTCAGCTTTGCAGTCCATCTTGAAAAAAGGTTGGTTGTCTTGTAACATTTATCAGCAGGCCAATGGGAGTTAATGAATTTCAGGAGTGTAGTAGTTGTCAGTTGTTGTCCAGTGTTGGAATGATGCAGGTAATTGTGCTGGACTGGTGAGAACTGTGGCAGTGTGCTTCTCACGTTGCACTGCAGCTGCTGTTGATCTTAATTAATCTGACCCTCTGAGGCTGCAGTGTCATGGTATAAAACACAGTACGTATTAGAAAGAGAAAGGCTGCTTTTGCTACTCTTACTGATGGTCATGTTTCTAGGTAGGCCTTTTGGTTTTCTAATTGGGTTTGCTTGACATTAGCATAAAATTCTTAATGTACTTGAATCTAAAGCTGTAATATATTTTTCCTGTTTACCAAATCTGTGTGTGAAGTAATGAAGCTGACAAAAATGTTTTTGGAGTGTCACCTTTATAATGGACTTAAAAAATAAATTTGTTTCTATTCTGACAACAAATACAATTTTCTTAAATGAAGAAAGCTATATTCTTTGCGTCTAGTATGAATTTCTGGTGTACTGTGTAGTGTGTTCTGTAGTGGGGTATGCTTGGTGCTTGTGCTGTTTAGCTCAGTCATGGGATTCTTCTAAGGATTTATGGTAATGTGGAAGCATGTAAAATTGGAATTTGGTATTTGGCAGTTGGAATAAATAAGTGTGCTGTGCATGTGCAAGACAGTTTATTGTAGGTATGCTAGTATCTTCCTGACTGTATGAGACGACTTTAGGAAACTATCAGGTTTCCTACATTCACCCTGGTATTCGGGGCTATTCTGTCTTTCCATCCCACAAAGGAAATACCAAAACGGAGTTTAGCCAGAGATCTAAATCCTATGTTACTGATTTGTAAAGTTCTGTTCCATGCTATTTTTGTTTTGATTTCAGGGGTATCTGCATCCCAATTTGTGATTATTCATGGCATTATAAGGATTAGCAGCATTGCTTTTATTTTAATTTAAAAATTGAGAAATGATTGTCAGGATACTGCTTTAAATTTCCCTTAGATTTAACAGCCGTATTAAATAGTTTAATACATAAGATGACAATAATCTAAATTTCCATCCCCCTATATTAACTTGTTTTCACTTTAACATATTTGATAATTAATTATGGTTGAATCTGATTGGGGTTTACTTAATATTAAATGTGCAGTTCTTGATTATAGCCGAGCATTAAAATTCCTTTGCAAGTACTTAACTGGTCTGATTGAAATGTCAGTTTAAGGCAGTATTTGGAAACATGTCTATGGAAGTTAGCTCCTAGCTGTACAATGATAACATGCCTTTAACTTTTTAAGATGAATTTATGACTCTTTGCTTGAGGTAGCTATGAGTAGCTATTGTGCATTGCTCTTCTCAGCTTCTGAATTGCAATAAATTTTCTGAATTGCAATAAATTTTGTGTAGGTTTTAAGTGTTCTGCATAATTGATGAGCAAAATCAAGTCTTCTTCATGAAAGGCCAGAGAACATAGGTTGATATGTGAAGTAGCTGATCTAAATAACTAGCTGTGTGACCAGCCCTTCAAAGAATAGCGTATTAGGGACCGGGTTTAAAGTTGTGTTGATGAAATGAATCATCTGGGGTCAGATGCCTTGTGAGGAAGAGACACACTTGTCAACTTTGTGTATGTGAAAGTGATTATGTAATATTAGCATTTGTTGGATATAAAGAAGCATAAATCTCAGACAAAAGTTCATATTTGCCTGGTCTTGTAGATTTTAGTTTTGAAAAGACTAAACGTCTGGTTTTCATCATTGATCTCTCGCTGCATCCTGCAGGGCCTGTCATCTCAGCATTGACAGGATCAGATGAAAAATACAATCAATGTGTTGACATTTTTTTGAGAATCAGGTAAGATTACTTGTTATACAGAGCTACAGTGAAATTCATGGCTGCTGCTAATGTGTCACCAGTTGGAGCCTTTGCATTCTCAATCATTAATTCAGTTAGATACTGAGGTTCTCTGCATGTTCCTTTGTTTCTATTTTAAAAGCACTTTTTGTGCCTTGCTCAGTGCCATTTAACTCTCGTGTTATTTCCCACGTAAAGAGCTTCACACATTTGTACTGTTTTCCTCCACTTCGTAGAGTGGCACCTCTTTGCTTGAATGAAGAACCATAGTTCACACCTCCAAAACTCTTGGAAGATTTGTATGTACATGTATTTTATTTTCAAGTAGTGACTTTACTTTTTAGATTCTTCATTGGCAATAGGGGGAAGAAGGCAGCAGCAATTTCTTATCTTCCTAGTGTGTTCTAAAACTCTGATCTTCAAACTGTACATGAAAAATTACAAATATTTAAATGAATATACAAGTGCAGAGTCTTTCTATAACATAAATTATTGAAAATATTCATATAAAGTCATGCACCAGAAAAGTAGGGAATGGCATGTGTCCATTCACTTGGCTTCGTTGAGCATCCAGTGTGCTTATGGAATTAAAACTATATCAGAGTGTACTCCCAAAATGTTGGGCAGTTAAATATCTGCTGTGGGCTGTGTGAGTAGGGGGAGAACAGACCAGTTAGGCCATATGCAGGGCTGGAGCTTGATCCAGCTGAGGTTTAAGTTTTGTCCCTGTGATCTGAAGTTAGGAAATGCCAGAGTGCAGGTAAGACAGTGTATAGTAGTAGTAGCAGCAGAAGCAGCAATTCAGGTGCTACAGAAGAGACTGCTTTGGCAGCAGTATTGAGCTGGTGTTAAAGAATATTTATGTTTTTTTGTGATCTGGCAGCCTACCAACAGTTTTCCTGAGAAACACATGCAAGAAGAGGGAAATAGGTGGCTTTTTAGCAGGTTATTGACCTGGATTTGAAGAAAACTTCTGTGGAACAAGAGGGACCCTTCTGGCATTCTGTCAGCTGGTTTTCAGAGGTCTGCAATGAAACTCTGCTACTGGATGCCTTAAAGCTCTATAAAAACGATATGTTACAATGAGACCTGTTAGAATGTGTATGGGGCTTGTTTTCTGTCTTGCATGTGCATACGCACTTTATTCTTTTTATGTCTTCTACTTGCTGTATTAGATGGACACTTGGTGATTCTGTCAATCTAAAATAAAACTTGGATTCCATAGAATCTCCTTATTATATCACTTCCTAACTTCTGAGTTTTTTATTGTGCAGTACAGTGCCTCTAAGGGTGCCAGCTGTTGAGATTACTTTTCCTGAAGCAGCATATAGTTTCTAGCATAGTAAAATGGTAAAAAAAAAGGGAAGTGTTAACTCTACAAAGATTTTATCTCTTTGTTTAGATTGGTAATGCCAAGTGCTCATCTAGTATTTGCACTGCTTTTAACAATAATATACGTACTTTATAATTTTATAAGCTGTTCTATGGATTTACACCTAGGACTAGCTGTTCTAGTAAGTGCTAACTTGATACATTACATGGGTAAGTTTTTATTCTAATTAATTGATCCCAAATAGCCAGGAAAAGATGGGATGATTTTGTACAATGAGCAGGTAAACTCTTAGGGCTGGACAGGAAAGAACTTTTATAAAAAGGAAGTTACCTTGTGTAGCTAGTAAGCCCTTCTTTTTACTTGAGTTCATCATGAGGTCTTTCCCTGAATAACAAGTATTTAGAAGAAGGAAACAAATGATTACATAGGTAGCCAGATTTTAAATCACATTGTTAAACCCAGTATTTTTAGGTGTACGTAGAAATCCAGATGTAATTACAAGCCTTAGAGCTTTAATCTTGCATGTTCTTGATGGGAAAAATCAGGCATAAACCTCCTTGATTTCTTGTACCTTTTAAAAACAAAGCCTTCTCAGTTTATGGAAGTACTTTTTAACCTTCTAGTCTTAGAGACATAGCGTGGATAGTGGTAGCAATGTCAGTGTTTTGAGTTAACGTATTCATTTTCTTTTTTTTTTTTTTCCAGTTTTTAAGTTGTACTAGTTATTCTTTTGTTTCTGTATTACCTTTGCCAATGGCTCATGTTTTTGATAGTACATACTACTTGAAAGAATGTGGGTTTTGATGTTCAGAAGTAGTTCTAGTTCTGTCCATCACACTTCACTAACTTGACACTTCCTCTTTTGAAGGGTGCAGATATGTGAAGGGCAAAAAACTTAGTCATTCATAATTATAAAATAATTACCTGATTTTTCCCTTCTCCAGCACACAAGCATATGTTCAGAATGAGAAAAAATAAACTCATCCATTATTTTGTCCTTTTTTTGATGATTTTTTTTATGGAAAATCTTACAATGTGCAAATGACTATCATGCTTTCAGTGTTGACTAGTACAGGAACTTGCTAAGTTTCATCTTGTGCAAAATCCTTTTTGTATGTTTTCTAAAGAAGTCTCTGCTTGTAATTTTGGCAGCTTTGTATTGACTGAAGATCACTGATTTTTTTTTTTTTTTTCCATTTTTTATTTATCTTGAAGTATTTGGCTTTTTACTAGAATGGCTGGTTCTGATTTGGGAGTCTTGTTTCTCTCAGTACAGACTTTAAGAAGTGATGAAAACAATTTATTAAGGATTGCGGTATTTCAACTGCAGTTAAATGTTAATGCCCTTTTCCTAAAAATATGCATACAGTTAAATGGGCTCCTAAGATAATGCAGGGATTGTTTGAATGTGTGTATGAAATACAAATAGGTGATTGTAATGCCTTTGATAGCTGTAAGCTCGAAGGTGTCTTAATTTGGATGTTTTTTTCCTGTAAAAGATTCCATGAAGGCAAAACCGAGAAAGCATGAAGGGCTTTTGGTGTAAATTAGAATATATTAGTAACACTGGTTTTGTGTGATGAGGCTTTTATATTATAAAGTATGCTTACTTGGGAGGTGCAGATAAGCTGATGATGGCTATCTGATATTCAAGTCAAGTGTGCTTAAAACTAGAAATATTTCAGGAACTAATATAAATTTCATATTTGTAGTATGACCTGTTTCCATTGGTCTAGAAAGAGGTGTAATGCTGCAGTGCTATTTAGAAGGAGAAGTTCTATTAGTTATCTACTGAATTATAATTTATTGGCAAACTGAGAGAGAATGATGGCATAATCCCTGTTTGTAAAGAAACGTGTGATTTGTAGTGCAGATTCAGATCCATAGATATTCTGGAAGCCTCTTAGGTAAGTCTCTATGTAGAGGAAAAGACCAAGATACCTTAGGTCATTTGTGTAGACTTTATCTCTCTGTATTGATTGAAGTTCCACTCTGCTTTAAGAAAGTTCTGTTGTGTTAATCCCTTCAGAGTGCAGTGGTTTTCACGTAGCATTTTAATACTGGGTTCTGAAGGGACTGACACTTCCCCAGTTTCTTTTTCCCTTGGTCAAAAGCAGTGGTTTCCATATTAGGTTTCAGTATAGATGCTTCTTCTGGGTAGAAGTAACTTACTGGTGTCATTTGATTCAAGGTGTGCGATGTCCCCTGCATTTGCCTACTTCCATGGGGGAAATTGAGAAATCTTGCTAGACAGGCCATCTTACAAATGATGAAGATCATTAGTAAGTTGTATTTCACAAAAGAATACTATGTATTTGCTGCTTATTTTTGAAAATCCAGTGATTCAGTCTCAGCAAGTATTTAATTTCTATTTTTAATCTTTATTTTTTTTTTTTTAGAGGTCTACATTTTCCTTCTGCAAATCTTTAAATTCTGAATCTCAGAGTTCAGCATGTTCTAAGTGCTGGAAAATTTATAGTTTGTTTCATAAGCAGTTCAAAATCCATCTTCTTATTTTACTTCCACTTTTAAACTTAATGTTCAGAATGGAAATTCTCCCTGTAATATATAATTCTCATTCTGATAAATTCACGTTTTGTGGTAAGCAAGCCTTCCTATTTTTAGATAGGATGAAGATTTCAGAAGTAATCAAAAATTGATTCACTGTTTCCCATGTTTTGTTTTGCATGAGATTGTTGTTTTTTAAACCCAGCAGGTAACTCATTACAACTTAGCTGTTTCCTCACACACCCCTCTCCCCCAAATATTCCACTGAACTTGAGCATTGCTTACAGTTGTTCAAGTTCTTTATATATGTGGGTTATTATAGTGAAATACTGGTCTTCCATCTTTCCACTGCTGATGTGCTACTTGTTATAGAGAAAGTTGTTACTTTCAGCAAAACGGAATACAAATTCTTTTTCTTGTTTCTTGAGTATAAGGGCTGAAAATGAGAATTTCTTTCATATTTGCCACTGCCTCCCAGGAAAGTGAGTGGAGACACTCCTATGAAGGCAGTAAAATTATCAGCATTTTCTGTATAAAAACATTAAATTCGGATAAGTATTGAATTTACATGAGGTGAAATATGCATCCAGCCTACATAGTCTCATATTTGGTGCTTTCACATAGGGATAGATAAATAGTAGTGTATTATCACCAAAAAAAAATAAAAAAAATAAATTCTGCATATGATTCCAATTTATGTCTTTTGGTAAAGGACTTCTAAGGGTTTTCCTTTTTTCTAGCACAGGAATGTGGGTTTTTATTTTTTTTTTTTTTTGTCTGTTTTATTAGTCTGGGGATTTTTTATTCCTGGTGCTTGTCTGCAGTAGTCAGCATTTACTGCTGCGTTTTCGTTTGAGGAAGGATGTGTTATCTCACTGTTTTCTAGCCTTTCAAACAATTGTAATTGAGCTTTTCTCTGTTGGATATAGCTGTTTGAATCTTTATTTGGAGATGTCTTTCTTCCTACATTCAATTTTAATATAGTCAAGTAAGCAATGGTTACAAGAATAATGCATGGGCTTTGGTGAAGATCTTGTAGGATGCCTTTTCAGTTATAAAAAGATGTTCATGAAAACCAGGTATAAAACACATTATCAGTATCAGCTTGCCAAATATGCATGTTCTCCCCTTTCGGCATAAGAATTTTTTTATCTATTCTTTATGGCCTCTTTGAAAGAAAAAAAATGCATTGTTTTACAATTCTTTTCCATTTTTAGTGTAGAAATGCCACTGTTTATTAATGCCAAAAGTAGGACAAACTGTAGTGTATATAATCAATAGTGTTTTGTAGTTGTCTTATTCTTTGTCTTTGCTTAAAAGCGTGGCTGGATTTTCTGTTATTAAAAGAATAATTCCACATCTTTATGTATCGGCTGGCTTTTTGTTATATTTGTAAATCTGTTTAGTAATTCTGTGTAGGAAGATACTGGCTTTATGTCAGTGTGTGCCACTCTTGCTGGAAGGTCCATTTTTAAAGAGGGGCATTAGATCTAATCCTGATTCAGTTACAAATCCTCTTCAAACTAAACATTTTCTAGAATCTGTTTCCATTTGCAAATAATTGCTCTAGTTACACACATGTTGTTTTTTTTCGGTTGTTCCAACATACTTGACTTTAGTTTTAAAAGGTGTAAATCAAAATTCTATAAAGTATGGAACTGATAGAATTATCAAAAATTATCTATAAACAATTAGTGAGAAGGATTCTGTAATTAAAGCTCTAATCTGAAACGTTAAATGGCACTTTTTAGGAATAAATTTGAAGCAAATATTGGCATTTTCACTTAAAAATAGTAATGAGGTCATATTGTCCTGTTTTTGTTCATTATTATGTAAAATGTTTTGACATCTCTCATAAGGATTGTTTGGACTTTATCAGGGAGGAGACTGATGAAGTGCATATGGAAGAACTTGATGTTAATCTAAAAACAAACAGGAGAAAAGATTGTGGTGGCTCTTATTAAACTCTTGTGTGTTCATATTTATAACGTAGTCTGTGTTTTTAGAATAAGACAGCATGTTCAAGAATATAACTGTTCTAACTATTCTGTGATTCTGTATTGATATGATTTGCTTTCTGTTGAAATAGTCATAAAAGAACCAGCTACAATTTGTGGGATCTAAGGGAGAGGGTAAAAAATGCAGTTGATGACCAAGTGGTGTACCTTTACCTTTGTTTTGTACTCCTGAACAAGATCGGAAGTATTTGCAATGGCTGCTACATAGTTATTTGGTGACTAAGGTATTAATTTGTTTCCGTGTGCATCTGATTTCATTGTATAAAAGTACATGTCCCTGTTTGAGTTGCAAAAGGAGAGATTAAGATTATGTAATGTTTCATGGTAATTGTGTGAGCTCCTTGCTTGCGTATGCAAA